CCCCCCCCCCCCCCCCCCCCCCCCCCCCCCCCCCCCCCCCCCCCCCCCCCCCCCCCCCCCCCCCCCCCCCCCCCCCCCCCCCCCCCCCCCCCCCCCCCCCCCCCCCCCCCCCCCCCCCCCCCCCCCCCCCCCCCCCCCCCCCCCCCCCCCCCCCCCCCCCCCCCCCCCCCCCCCCCCCCCCCCCCCCCCCCCCCCCCCCCCCCCCCCCCCCCCCCCCCCCCCCCCCCCCCCCCCCCCCCCCCCCCCCCCCCCCCCCCCCCCCCCCCCCCCCCCCCCCCCCCCCCCCCCCCCCCCCCCCCCCCCCCCCCCCCCCCCCCCCCCCCCCCCCCCCCCCCCCCCCCCCCCCCCCCCCCCCCCCCCCCCCCCCCCCCCCCCCCCCCCCCCCCCCCCCCCCCCCCCCCCCCCCCCCCCCCCCCCCCCCCCCCCCCCCCCCCCCCCCCCCCCCCCCCCCCCCCCCCCCCCCCCCCCCCCCCCCCCCCCCCCCCCCCCCCCCCCCCCCCCCCCCCCCCCCCCCCCCCCCCCCCCCCCCCCCCCCCCCCCCCCCCCCCCCCCCCCCCCCCCCCCCCCCCCCCCCCCCCCCCCCCCCCCCCCCCCCCCTTCTCCCCCCCCCCCCCCCCCCCCCCCCCCCCCCCCCCCCCCCCCCCCCCCCCCCCCCCCCCCCCCCCCCCCCCCCCCCCCCCCCCCCCCCCCCCCCCCCCCCCCCCCCCCCCCCCCCCCCCCCCCCCCCCCTCTTCCCCCCCCCCCCCCCCCCCCCCCCCCCCCCCCCCCCCCCCCCCCCCCCCCCCCCCCCCCCCCCCCCCCCCCCCCCCCCCCCCCCCCCCCCCCCCCCCCCCCCCCCCCCCCCCCCCCCCCCCCCCCCCCCCCCCCCCCCCCCCCCCCCCCCCCCCCCCCCCCCCCCCCCCCCCCCCCCCCCCCCCCCCCCCCCCCCCCCCCCCCCCCCCCCCCCCCCCCCCCCCCCCCCCCCCCCCCCCCCCCCCCCCCCCCCCCCCCCCCCCCCCCCCCCCCCGGGCGGCCGCGGGGGGGGGGGGGGGCGGCGCTCGTCCCCCCCCCCCCCCGGGGGGGGCGCCCCCCCCCCCCCCGCCCCCGCTCTCCCCCCCCCCCCCCCCCCCCCCCCCCCCCCCCCCCCCCCCCCCCCCCCCCCCCCCCCCCCCCCCCCCCCCCCCCCCCCCCCCCCCCCCCCCCCCCCCCCCCCCCCCCCCCCCCCCCCCCCCCCCCCCCCCCACCCCCCCCCCCCCTATATACCCCACCCCCCCCCCCCCCCCCCCCAACCACCCCCCCCCCCCCCCCATTTTTTCATCTTTTTTCTCCTTTTCCCCCCCCCCCCCCCCCCCCCCCCCCCCCCCCCCCCCCCCCCCCCCCCCCCCCCCCCCCCCCCCCCCCCCCCCCCCCCCCCCCCCCCCCCCCCCCCCCCCCCCCCCCCCCCCCCCCCCCCCCCCCCCCCCCCCCCCCCCCCCCCCCCCCCCCCCCCCCCCCCCCCCCCCCCCCCCCCCCCCCCCCCCCCCCCCCCCCCCCCCCCCCCCCCCCCCCCCCCCCCCCCCCCCCCCCCCCCCCCCCCCCCCCCCCCCCCCCCCCCCCCCCCCCCCCCCCCCCCCCCCCCCCCCCCCCCCCCCCCCCCCCCCCCCCCCCCCCCCCCCCCCCCCCCCCCCCCCCCCCCCCCCCCCCCCCCCCCCCCCCCCCCCCCCCCCCCCCCCCCCCCCCCCCCCCCCCCCCCCCCCCCCCCCCCCCCCCCCCCCCCCCCCCCCCCCCCCCCCCCCCCCCCCCCCCCCCCCCCCCCCCCCCCCCCCCCCCCCCCCCCCCCCCCCCCCCCCCCCCCCCCCCCCCCCCCCCCCCCCCCCCCCCCCCCCCCCCCCCCCCCCCCCCCCCCCCCCCCCCCCCCCCCCCCCCCCCCCCCCCCCCCCCCCCCCCCCCCCCCCCCCCCCCCCCCCCCCCCCCCCCCCCCCCCCCCCCCCCCCCCCCCCCCCCCCCCCCCCCCCCCCCCCCCCCCCCCCCCCCCCCCGGGGCCCCCCGCCCGGCCCCCCCCCCCCCCCCCCCCCCCCCCCCCCCCCCCCCCCCCCCCCCCCCCCCCCCCCCCCCCCCCCCCCCCCCCCCCCCCCCCCCCCCCCCCCCCCCCCCCCCCCCCCCCCCCCCCCCCCCCCCCCCCCCCCCCCCCCCCCCCCCCCCCCCCCCCCCCCCCCCCCCCCCCCCCCCCTATACATATAAACCTTCCTCTTCTATCACTCTATCTATTAAAAAAACGTTTAAAAGAGTTTTAAAGATTAAAGCATACATAGGGATATAGGGACAGAGAAAGCGACTTTGTTTTATACTATGTAGTGATACACATTTTCATTATTATTGTTTTAAGTGTGCAACATTAGCGTGACTAAAATTAATAAGAAACATTTTCAAATACTTGTGCATTTTGCAAGTCGATTATATTCTTGGGTAAGCAAACAGATTTATAGATAACAGTTTCAATATGTAAAAGATATTGCAAAAGACAATATTTGTAATACGCGTCTGTTCTAAAATACAGTTTGAGCTCCGAAACAAGGCGGGTGCCATTAATCACTATGTCTCTTTAATACGTTTCCATTGGAGCCGCATCCATTTAGTACATAATTAATTCCTTCAACTTAACAAGAATTTCTTATGCGCTATAACGGAAACTTTGGTACGGTCTAATATAACCTAATTTTAATTTAAAATATGATATAATACGGAGTCGGAGAGTCGGTAGTACGGAGTGATTGTTTGGTTATAATTAGACGAGTTATGTCTAATGTCTTGGTCCTTGGTCTAAGACATGCTGGTTTCCTTATACTGGCAATACTCATGGTTAAGAGTTGCAATCTTAGATGCAAACTTCTTAAATATTTTAAGCGTATAAAGATTCAATGTAATGTTTTTTTACTTATTGGTGGACTTGGAGTAGATATTATTATTTTATAGTTAGAGATGTCAAGTACTACGTAGGTACAAAGACACAGAAAGTCTAACTTTTTTTTTTAAAGACAATTCACACCAATTGACCTAGCCCCATGCTAAGCTGGTGAAGCTTGTGTTATGGGTACTAGGCAACGGATATACATACATATTATAGATAGATAGACGTATAAATACATATTTAAACACCCAAGACCTAAGCACAACACCAAATGCTCATCACATCGATGTTCGTCTCAGCCGGGGATCGAACCCGGGACCCATGGATTCGCAGTCAGGGGTACTAACCACTAGACCAATGAGTCGTCATAGATTGTATAGAAAATAAATAAACGCAAAAAATGTCAGCCCTATATCAGCACTTCACAAATTACGATTTTTCAAAGCATTTGTTGCTTTTATGACGTATTGGAAGGGTTCAAGTTAAGTTACTTTGATGACGTTTATTCTTAGAAAAACTTGACTTGCGACTAGTTAGAAGAGTTTTCCAGCACGCCCCCAGGATCATATCGCTCACAAAGTTTTAATAACATTAATTGTTTAAACTCTTAGCCGCACCCTGCTCTCAAATAACGCTGTCCAACTAAAATTATCAACAATTTATAGTGTTAGTTTCGATACGAACTATGGAAGCTTGTCGAATTTTGGACAGATTTACGATATGAAGATAAGGTTTTTTTATCTTTACCATTACTACATGAATTTAAAAGTTGAGTTATATAATGTAATAAATTCGTGTTTATATTCACCTAGGAAGTCTTATTTAAATGAAGTAATAAAATACTTGCGTGTGTACTGTGTGTAGACCAAATATACGGGTAGTTTTTTTAAATTCAACAAACCCTTAACGTTTTAGATATTTTATGCCGGCCATACACACTACGGTCTACCGGAGAGGTCCACCTGTGCAGGTATGCCTGCGCAGGTCAACAGAACAAAGGTAGCGTGTATCGGAGCGGTCTTCAGTTCTCTTTGCGACGGCATCGAATGTGGACGATGACACGCTGGCGTTGCTAGGTCTAGTTTTAATTTTGAAGAAAAATTATACGAAAAACAAGCGAAGAAAGTGGTGTAAGCATTGGTTATTGAAAAGGAAAACATATAGTCATGTTAATTTATTAAATGAATTGAAATTTGAACCAGAAGATTTTAAAAACTATCTTCGAATGGACGAGAAAACATACATTAAATTACTTGAAATGGTTACTGCTATAATAAAAAAAGAAGACACAGTTAAATAACGAATCAAACTTAAAACATAAGTAATAAATGTAGATACATTGCCGATTACTATCTTAACAACCTGCGCAGGCGACCGGAGTACACGCACACACGCACAGGTACACCGTACGGTGTCACTAGAAAGAATCGATTTTCGATCTTATGCGCCGGTCGCCTGTGCAGGTTCAAAAACCTGCACAGGTCTATTCCCACACACATTCCGGTCTACCTGCGCAGGCATACCTGCACAGGTGGACCTCTCCGGTAGACCGTAGCGTTTATGGCCGGCATTACTATTTAAATAATCTTTTATTAAAACTAAATATTTTTTATTTGTAATAATTATTTTATTATTATTAGTTTAAATTCCTTGTACTAGGAACTAAAGAAAGACCTATTTTGCTATCTGAGGTGGCTTGAATATCCGCATATAGGTGTGTGAAGCTCGATCTTACCCAAGTCAGCGAAACAGCTCATCACGGTGACAATACCCACTAAAACCAACACGTTCTTCCTAATTTGTAGACATTCCATCGTTAAAATTACCCAATTTTTACACAAAAATATTTTATAAATAAATATAAAAACAAATCCCAAACTAACAGTCATAAAAGTCTAAATGTTTTATTTTTAATAAGAAGGAATGTCTAGGCGTTTTTGTTTTTAGTTTTATTTTCTATCCAATCTTACGCAAACTATTTTGTACTTCTTAAACGTGAAATATGTTAAATATAATACAGCAGAGGCGCTTAAAGGAATTATATTACAAGTCAATTAACTAAGAACGTAGATGGTCGTAATCGCTGCTATAACTCATTGCATTGCATAATTGATTTAGCATATTATAATTGCAGCTGGGGCACACTTGATAATAACAAACACATACCAAGCGTCTGTCGACGGATTCGTGGAGCATCTGGGAGTCACAGCTGAGGAAGGATATGATCTCATAAAGCGAGCTGCAGAACTGGCGAAAAAGGCACGTGATCTATATATGGAGGAATATGAAGAATATATACAAACAGGTATTTACATTAGATAACAATGCGTACAAAAACAAAATCATTTAATGATAAATTAAACATCATTATGAGTAAGATAAAACAAATAACACGAGAACTTACAAACTTGCACTGGTATTCTATAACTTTAAATAGTTTTTGTCCAACGCGATCGTATAAAATAAATCAGTGGCGCTACAACCTTTTTAGGTCTGGGCCTCAGATGTCTGTATCTGTTTCATGATCATTTGTTAATCTAATCTGCAAGTAGGTGATCAGCCTCCTGACACACGCCGTTGACTTTTAGGTCTAAGGCAAGCCGGTTGCCTACCGTTATTTTGAGAAAGAAAATCCATTGGTGCATAGCTGGGGATCGAATCTACGACCTCAGGAATGAGAGTTGCACGCTGATATTCAGAGATCTCATCGAAATTGTATACAAAGGTCGGATCTAGTATCGCTATTGGAGGATAGTACGTGCTGTTGTACTAACAAAGATACCACTTAAACACAAATACATTTAATACTTGTTCTTTGTTAATTATTTGTGGTTGATTCACGAAATTATTTCATTATAATAACTCAAATTGTTAATACATTACGTATACAAAAAATAATTAATAAATCTTCTCATGAAAATTTCAAGAATGTTAACATTTAGTGAACAAAGCCCGGGTCGGTAGCCCTGCGGGAGGTTGCAGGCTCGCATTAATTACACTTTGCAAGGGTTACAGTATTTGTTATGATACTGCGGCGGGAAGTGCGAATTGCGAATAACCATCAACTTTACTCATAATTTAGAAATGTACCGCGTAGTTGAAATGTGAGGTAATAATGGACTGACCTGAACATAGGTACCAGTTATTTAGGTCACAATGAAAATTAATTGATTTAAAATAAGAACAATATTTATATATATATAAAGAGCAGTGTTGGCCTAGTGGCGTCAGCGTGCGACTCTCATCCCTGAGGTCATGGGTTCGATTCCCGTCTGCGCACCAATAGACTTTCTTTGTATTTAACATTCGCTCGAACGGTGAAGGAAAACATCGTGAGGAAACCGACATGTCTTAGACCCAAAAAGTCGACGGCTTGTCAGGCACTGGAAGATGATCACCTACTTGCCTATTAGACTGAAAAATGATCATGAAACAGATTCAGAATTCTGAGGCTCAGACCTAAAGAGGTTGTAGTGCCACTGATTTTTTTTATATAGAGAAATGGAGTGAATATCAACTCCTTCGAGTTTTAGAAGTTAATTATAGCGTTAAAGATACTCTTTGGAATAATGGTTTATTTGTATAAGGTGTAGTTAGTGATATATCATTTTAAATGAAATATCTTCAATACAATTTATTTACATAATTTTCGATTACTTTTTACCGAAACAGTGTATTATCAGAGTTCAATAGTATTTTTTGGTCTCTATTATTAAGTTAAACGATTCAAGATGTAATCATAAAATACAAAACAAATGTCAAAGTTCTATCAATCTGTCGAACGTCTATTAACAATCTCTTTGATCTGAATTTCAAAGATATATTTACACCTGTTATATTGGTTTTTGTAAAAAAAATTGTTTTTTTACAAATGTATGAAAGAATATCTCGAATGAATACTCTTTGGTAATATTAAGAATAATTTAAATAAATTCTTATTTATTTACGCAGATCACGCACCCATAGTTGTGGGTTCTGTGGGGCCGTATGGGGCACACCTTCACGACGGATCTGAGTATGATGGCAGCTACGCCGACACCACTACAGTACAGGTAAGAACTATCCCATACTATCAAATTAAGAGCTTCACAGCTATGGTTAGAATGCGGATGGATCGATTAGGGAAGTAAAGTGACACCGCGGCCCGAACTCTGATGGGTACAGTCTCTTATTAGTAAAACTTTTAGAATATTCTAGCTTTTTAGTCTCATTTCTCTCGGCGTTGGTTGCCATTTCATCTGGCCAAATTAATGATAAGGCATAATTAAATTAGACATAACTTTGTCTAAGCTATTTTTCGGGAGGTTTACGGCCTTTGCTTTTAAAAATTAACTTTATAAAAATTCCAGCGAAAACAAATGACAAGACTATTATACATGTCTAGACTGAGTTTACGCGATCCTAATTTATTTAATGAATTTCTACAAGCGGCATGTACTGTAACTGTGTGTTAATGACAATAACTAACTGTATAAAGAAATGACGTAAAAAGCTTACGTATCGATGTCAAATTGAATACTATCTCCGCTCATATTTAATTTTTCATGTAATTATCACTATTTTGTATGGAAATAAATAAGTGAATCCTCGGACGCATAGGCCAATCGAGTGGAAGGGAGATAGATGCGGCGCAAGCGTAACGGGACAGTAAGCGCAACGGGACAATTAGCGTAACGTGCCAATGGTACTTTTTTGTGCGTGCAGCTGGCGTTAATCGAAGTTGTCTTGTCAAAAATAAATCTTCTATAAGTTCTCTCTCTCTTTTAAATAATCAAGTTTTTGTATACAGACAACTTAAGGCTGTAACGTTACACGTATTCAATTATAGCAGTTGCACATAAAGATCCCGGAAGTAATGTCTGAGAAATGCATGAAAAATCACTTTTACTTTGGAATGAATTTTTTCGTTTAGTTTATTAGATTTTTAATTAGATGCTTAATTATTTTTATCTACGGATATTTGCAGACACATTAACCTATCACTCTACTCGTAAATAATTGTATTGACAATAATATTATCAGTGTTCAATGTTACTGGTCAATGCACGATATCAGAAATTAAATAAAACAAGTTCACACAATCGATCCCCTTATAACTTCATAACTGTACGAAATCATTTATATCACATACAAGAGAAGGTTTTTTTTACTTAAGAATGTTTTTAAATTAAACAGAACTTTTGGATAATATAACAGATATTACTACGAACTATTTCTAAATTGGTATATTTTGTTCAGTCAAAACTTTCTGATATGTCCAGGATAAACATAGTGGCTTTAACAATACATTCCGTAAACTAATGCTACTTTTGCCTAATCCGTCCACGACTTTTTTGTATCATTAGGTTAAGCTGCATCGTTTTGATCATGATTGAGAACTCACAAAACACAGTCCTAAAATCCCTCTCCGAATACTTTAGCAACTCCTTTAGGCTTTGAACGATCTAAATTGCTGCGCTAACGAGAAATGATAAATGTAGGTATACCTACAACTAACAAATATGAGTATTTTAATTGCCTCGGAATAAACTTTAATTATAATTTTACAATTTTTTTATATTGCAACGCCTGCGCATTGCGAGCTAGCTGTTTAGTCGAATAAAAAAATCAAAGGCATGAAGTGTTTTCGAACCAGTTATAGTCCGGGCGCTAGAGGTAGTTTAGTATGCAAAATGTGAGTGTCGAATTTCGCCAACGGATTTGAGTTAAGAAAAGGTCATGGAATGTGGACCTTGCTGGTCCATTTTTTTACCCCCTTTTCTCTTATGTGTAAAGGGAATGGATTGAGTACATGATATAAAATCAATTTAATGATTTTTTCTATAATAATTTATAGTCTGTTGTAACGGTAAAAGTGAGGATAGATTCCTTATTATTAATAAAAATAAATTTATAAATGTTTCTACTTGTAGCCCTTAATACATTGATAAATTGCAACTCGTTCAATTTCTGTGCGCTAATCTAAGTGCCCATAGACATTGTGAGTGTCCATGGGCACTTAGATTAGATGAGCCTTCTTCCCGTTCGCCTGTACTATATTTTTTTTACATTATTGTAAACAAATCTTATTTAAGGTAAACAAAAAAAGCCCATGTCCAACAGAAGTTAATAAAAACCCTTAATTTATATTATTCGAACGGACCATGAATACTAACGGCGAAGTAAAAGTTGAAAGCGTTGGCTAAATCGTAAAGAGGGTCATAAAGTTGCCGGGAAATTAAAATTTACATCGGCAATATGAAAAACTCTCTTTCCATTCCTCCGTTTTTCGGGCTATTTGACTGGGGTGGACAGTTAATTAATGGAGACAAGAACAAATGGAATCAGGCAAACATGAAACCACTTAACGGGATTCTTTTAATCATTAATCCTTTACAAACAGTCTACACTTTTATTGTAAGTATTGCTTACTATAATGGATAAACTACGTATGATTTAGCTCAAGAGTATATTGTTACATATATATATTATATATGATAGAATAGAATTTGATCGAATCAGTCGCCAATCGTGTTACAAGTAAAAAAAAGTAATGTTAAAAAATATATTGCGAGGTCGTCCAAGCTATAATTAATTTAACTAAAATAAATTGAAGCAATAACGCAAAATATTAAGATGTTTTTTGGATTTTAGACTATTATTTTGAATTTGAAAAAACTATTATTTTTCTTAGAAATCAAAATTCTATTAAGTTAGCTAAACATTTTAATACTTAGCTGTTACCTAACATTCTGTTTGTAGATTTTGCCAAATTCATCCACAACGTTTTTATTCGAATAGAGTACTTGTGTTTATTCGAGTTATGTTTCAAGTCGGACGGAATTAGCTCCGTACTGGGAAAAATCTATAAGCCGCTTTTACGCCGAGTGAAAATCCTTTTAAAAATTCATTAATATTCGCATTTAACACTTACTTCATAATCCTTGTAGTTATCCCTCAACTACAATGATACCGGTACGAGACCATTTTACGCCGAATATTTTGTAAATGAATTGAAAATAATGAATCATTTTATAAGCCCGCTTGTTTAAGCAGTGTTTGAAAAGGGTTAGCTTATACAAGAGTAATAAGTTTAAGTGAGTTATTTAATGTAAACTAACGTTCTAAGAACTGTGAATGTTATTCAATTCTAGAATTATAACTTAGCACGTTCTCCACTCGCTTGTTTATTCTATTACGCTGAAACTATAATTGTTTAGATAGCACGGGATAGTGATCACCTTAACAGCAGAAGTACTCAGAATTATATAACTGCTGAAAATGCAATTTACCTGTTTTGTCGGTTTGCCGTAGTTAAGACACAAAACATTGTTGCTTGAATGGTGGTCTATTCTACGACACAGGGTTAAAAATCACACATTTTGTACGTCGCACGTCGGAGGTATTAAGTAACTTATGTGCGTAAAGATATCATCATTAGCAAAATAGCATTTGTAACTAGAATGATTAGGTACCACTTATTTCTGTTTACAACTTTTTGTATTATTTTTACAGCAAATTTTAGAAACACTTAAGCTATTGTTCAACATTATTTCTTTGAAGTTTGTCTCTGTTATGTTCATTCCTATAATTTGTTTTGTGTTACACCTGTCGTAGCCATTGGACAGTCAGCCAGGACATGTAATATCGTCTCTTCAGCTGTATTGTTGCAAGGACAGCATTTTTCTTAACTCTCAATCTGTGAAGATACGATTAGAATCTACCATGACCTGTCAACATCTGTGTGATCAGTCCCGTTACCATCTCTATTTAGAACTAGCTAGGGTCCTTCAAGAGTACTAGTTGCTGAGCTGACTCTGCTGATCATTTGCCCCCTGGTCTGTAAACACATTCACAAACTGCTATATTGGAATAATCATCAGTAAAACAGAAGAATTGATACAGAAATGTTGGAGTGGTAGTTGTCTGGCCCATTCCCCATAGTACTTGAAGAGGACTATATTAAAAGCGTATTTCTTTTCAGTCAATGCGCGAATGGCACTTACCGCGGATTCGTGCACTCGTGGAAGCTGGAGTGGAACTGCTGGCATTGGAAACCATCCCTTGTCAGGAAGAGGCAGAAATGCTGTGTGAACTGTTACGAGAATTCCCTGGTATGAAAGCTTGGCTTTCATTTAGTTGTAAGGTAATGTTACAAATAATTTTATGACTAATTGATTACGTAAGAACATGTTCCATAAGCTTCCAATTTAGTATTAACTGTATTTCAGCCTGTGATGTTTCAGTTACATATTATGTTTAGAAACAGAAAAATCCCAGTTTAAAGTGAGCTAGCTTTGTTATATCACAGTAATTTAATATAGGTAATTTTATATACATTTTAACTAAACGAAGAAATATCGTCGCTGTAGAATGATAACCTCGTATGTCCAGAGAACCAAAATTGACAGGAAAAAAAGTATTTCATTTCGCCAATGTTCGTTAAAATATTATTATGTGTTTTTGTTCATTCTTAGTTGGCGCATAGATACACTTTCTTGTGACTGACAAATTTCTCCGATATTAAGTTTTATTATAGAATATATATGCAGCTGAACATTACAAAGTTATATCTTTCCCGCTGAAGGAGTTCATTAATCAATTATTATGTACTTACCGTCGCCTGTAGGATACTTACCCGTCAAATTGAAAATGTCTGAGCTCGTAAAACTTGTCTCGTCGCAGGTATTTAAGCTTTTAAAACGTTTATTTCCTTTAAACATTACGGTAGCGTATTTGGAAACATGATTGTGCAATTTTTTCTTGTTATTAAAAGAGAAATATGCATTAACTTGTTTATCGATAACGTCAAAGGTCACCGCGATTATTCCACTTGAGTGGATGCCTGATAATACAACGACATTTTCAGGACGACCAGAGCATCGCCCACGGTGAAAGTTTTCAAAAGGTAGCGAAAAAGTGTTGGAACCTTAATCCCGAACAGCTTGTAGCGGTCGGCGTTAATTGCTGTACTCCGTCGTACGTTGGAAAATTACTCAAGGGAATCAATGACGACCGGCCGGACGATCCCATACCATTAATTGTTTATCCTAACTCAGGCGAAAAGTACAACCCACAGATTGGGTAGGTTGAAACAAATTTTTAAATTTTTTTATTCCAATTTCCGTAACTACACAATGTAGCTAATATAGTTTTGTGCTAAAAAATACGCGTGTAACTATGGGTTATGTCGTGTGTTACTCTGTGCTAGGAACATGATTTAACAAGTATTACTAGTATTACTTCGACACTATTTATTGCTTACTGAATAAAGGTTTAACAGTTACAGATATTTTAAAAAGTTAATGACATACTTCCTTAGCAAATCGATCATCTTAAAGGAGTCCTTAGGCTAATAAAAATGACATTAAAATATAAGGCATTCGATTTCACTGCGCCTTAAAAAGTTAATGTTCATAAACTTAATTTCCAGGTGGATTGACAGGGATAAATGCGAGCCTGTAGAAGTGTATATACAGGAATGGCTGGATATGGGTGTGCGGTACGTAGGTGGCTGTTGCCGCACCTATGCTGCAGATGTTTCCAGAATACGGAACCAGGTGCACTGCTGGCGGGATCGCTGGCGTTTCCAGCACAAATATTCAAAGACTCAAAACTCTTAAAATGTGTTTATGATTTAAGGACTTTACGGACCTCATTGTAGTTTTATCTCAAGTTATATACAAATATATTGCAGTTATATTATTAAAACCCTAATAAATTACGTGAATTACCCATATTTATTTTAAGATAAAGGATTGAAGCAATGAAAGCTGAAATGTTACGCGGAAAGATGATGACGTTCGCGGACGTGTCTCATGTATCCGTTAACATAAACAAATCTCAGTTAAGATCCTTTTTGTCTTAAATTCTTTATAAATATAAATAAATAAGGAATAATTAAATATATAAAGACTTGTAAAATATATTATTTTGAGGTATAATTAAAATCTCGAAATTATTAATTAGTCACGCACAGAATGTTTAAAACCTACGGGCGTATAAAGAAACATGAATTATAAAGCATATTCTAAAATCTTTACACCAAGTTAATTTTTGATTACATTTTAAATGGTGAAGTCCGCGACTAACCCAGGTGACTAAGCCGAACGAAAGCTATCAATATGAGTTTGCTTTATCAATAACTTAATAAAACTTTCGGAATGCACACAGGAAAAATCAAAGCATATTTTCCTTGACGCAAAAATAGTTGGAAAACTGGATGGCGTCCGTAGATTGAAAACGAATTTAAAATGCCCACGGTATCTATACTATAGCAATATTCGAAGTTCGCCGCAGAACTATCAGCTGCATGGATCGCTCCAAATTTTCATCGATGCGAAAGAAAAGAATCTTTGTATAACATTTTCCACCAAGATATTGAAGGCAAGTAATTGAATTCCTCCTCGAGGCCGACTACTTACGCTAAATTACACGCCCGGAAAACGGGTTAGAATTTTATTAAACATCTTTAATTAGTCAACGTTACCATTCTTTCGTAGAAAAATTAGGTTTAAAATGCCTCAGCTTAATCAAAATATACCTACAACTGCGAACATTCTAAATACAGTTGGCTAGATTCCAGCCAGGCTTTTATTAATGGTCCGTAAGGATATGTATTTGACCCTACAAATAGAAGATTTTTGTTGCCTTACCGGCCTATCGTTTGTTATAAATAGATACTTGGATGCCATGCACTGACCTAAAGGAAATCGGAGGCATTTTTATCTCAAGCACGTTGCATTTACCCTTTGCCGAGGTACTGTAGTACATACATAGCACACGGTTGTCCGCCTCAATGAGCAGTCAGTGAATCGAGCCAGCCGCCAGAACCCGTGGTTAGAATAGTTTCACTTATATATTGGCCACTGCCACACTTTATAAATTGTTCAAAGATGGAAATAGCAAGTATGCGATTGCATTCAATGTGCTACCTCGATTTGAAACCGAGCTAATGTTATGGAACGGAACCATTCAATCCCTTTAAGTTCAATATAAGTTAAATGAAAAACGGTAAAATATTAAAAATACTGTATTTATTCTGGTATAAACTAAAATGCAGTCAACATTTACTTTCTTTTGCATCTTTTAATATGTTTTTCGATTGCAATGCGGCAATGGCGAGAGTTCTTTCTTGTTTTTCTTCGTTCAATTGTAACTGTAAGTTTTTGACATCCAATCTTAAAGTTTTTATTTCATTCTGTAATCTCATGACAATGGTCCACAAACTGGTGGCGTGATTGGACGAGGAGTGAATGGGCAGCGACGGAGAACGAACCAACGCCTCTATCGATACCGGAGACTCTTCGTCGCACTCTGAAAACATAATTGCACAATGATTAATATCAGAGGCGAGAAGCGGAACCGGAACATACGTCATTTGTCACAAGTTACCAACCTCGAGATACAGCAAGGCGGTTTAATCGTGTTCCCGTGCAATGTGCTTAATTTAATCGTGTCGCAATTAGCGGAAAGTTAATCTGAAGCTCGTGTAAATAAAAAAATATATACATTTGAATAAAATTTATTGATACTTATGTCACCTACAATTTGTTATAAAAATAAATATAAACAGCAGTATGTAACACACGGTAGATAGTAATACATTTCTCAGAGTAACAAATCACATATTCTAAGTATACATTGAGGTGGAGTTATATAATAAACAAGCATTAATTCGAAGCACTAGAAGCTCGGATAAGCGACCCGACCCTACTTAATAATAGCAAATTTAATACTGTTCGAATTTTAAATACATTTATCGACTAGAGAACAGTAACATTCTAGTCTAACACCATATATAACATAAATATTGTTTACATTAAACACTCAAACTGTGCGAGGCAGAGAAATCGGAAAATGTAAAATTTAGGTTTAACGCTTGTACGGAAGAGGTATTAAAAAGTTACATTACGTTTCATGATAAATTGGCATCGATCCGAGCGGGTCAAAAGAAACGAGTAAAATTGCGTGGCGTCCCCGGATGTTGCTCCACGTTGATGACCACTAATTAATGTAAAAACCCGCTCGAAATATTTTTCTTGTACAATTTTTTATATATTTTAAAGAGCGATTGTTCTCTGTTCGCGTAATTTCGATGTTAAAGCACAAATATTTTGTAGTCGACTGTACCGGCAAACGTTTGTTTCGTTTCAAGTTAAAACCACATTTCGAACAAAGTTTGCTCAAGCAAGTCATGAGTAATTCTCAGCAATGTAGGTGCTCATTGATCAATGTTGGACTAAGGAGCTTACGAACAAAGCAAAACTTATGTTACCAAAATATTGAAAAATAGAACAAATATTACATAGAATTTAATATTATTGAAAATATAAGATTGGCTATGCTGGACACACTCAAACATTGATAAAGAAAAAAAGCCCATTAATTAGAATGCTTAATCCAAAACTCTTCGATGAAGGCAGCGTCTGAAAATAGGGACAAATGGGGTGACGGGTTGCCTTGGGTAGAGGGCAAACGAAATTGAAATGTAATTAAAACGCAATAACAAATTAGTTACGTGTAATAAATTTACAATCGACCATAATCGAAATTGTGTGAAATAGGATGTGCTATTAGCGGTAGACAACAAATCACATTTAGAATCGATAAATAACCATCTCAATATGAACACAAAGACGCGATGCGCAGCTGTTATCCCGTGTAGATTTATGATACAGTTACGACGTCATTAAAACATACATGGAAGCTATGAAAAACCACCTCTATACAGTATACCCACATCAATACTAAAAGCGGTTATATTGGAATATGTAGGTATTATAAAGAGGTAAGGTTTGCGAGGTAATCTCTGAATCTAATGAAACGATGTTTTTGTCGTTTTTTTACCTATAAAACGCCACGTTATTTGTGAGTGACATAAGCTATATATTAACCCGATTAGAGAAAAATGGGCAACCGAAAACGTTTATTTTTATTATTTATTTACACTTTGTTGCATTACAATATAAAAATTTAACATAATTAAATGTAAAGGAGGGCAACTGGCGGCCTTATCGCTTTCGAGTGATCTCTTCCAAGCAACCACTGTGAGAAAAGGAAAAAAGTATTAAATTAGATAAGGTAGGCAAGGAGTGCAAAAATACATATTACGAACGCTGCCTTACAGCTTTTTATGGAAACGTTGCAGAGCTTTATAATGCCTACAAAAAAGAGTCGACCACCACGCCCATCTGTCTATCTGTTTGGTATAAACTCAAAAACTACTTTGGTTTGGTGGTTTTCACCAGTATCTAGAATGATTCATGAGGAAGGTTTAGGTATGTAATTTTTCAGCAAAATCAGGGCTGGTCGCTAGTGTTTTATAAAAGACGTAGTTTTGAATCTAATCTACGGCAGTGTAACTAGCAAGAAAATGTTTTATCGTTGTTAACGAGTTCATTTATCTATCTATATGCATTAGGTTTGAAGTCACAGCTCAAAGAGGAATTATCATAGATATTGATCTGCCAATTTAATAGTAGATTTATCACCTATTCAAAAATTAATTTAATTTGATTATTTATTATAATTAATTCTCCATATAAATAATAAATATAACTCAGAAGTCACATACTACTGAAATTTTGCCACATCAGGCATGGCATGGTTTGTTAATAAATTTATTAGTTTATTATACAACCCAGTAAATTTGTTTTCACGTTTACAAGTCTTTAGTTATGAGAGATTATGTCAGCAGTTGTTAATAAAAAATCAATTTAAACACAAGTTGAATCCGAAGCCAGCCAAGTATGAAAACAATAGGATGGCGGGCGAATTTTAGCTACGTGAGTTAAAGTACGGATTTTAGAGCGGCCTATTTCTGGGAAAACTAAAAGCAAAACAAATTAAAACAGTCAGGAAGAAATATTAAAGTTAAAGTGTGCCAAGCCTATTGGTGTTTGCGAGGAAATAAGGTAAGTGAGATAATGCGTATTCAGTGTTAAGGCTGTGGTACACTTGGGATTTTTTCATTATTCTTTTATTTATTGGTCGCCAAATACCCATAAGTGAAATGCTCCGTGTCCCTTTTGGCGATTTCAATATGCCTAAGTAGCTTTCTAAATAGTCCTTACAAGTTTGGCGTAGATTAAAAAATAGTTAAACGAATTTACAAGGCCCGTAAAGTCACGTTTCCTTGATATTTTTTTGTAATCACCACACTCAACTACTTAGAAAAGAGAGAGAGATAAGTCCATTTATTCTATCATATAAAACTTCATTTATATTATACAAGAGTTTATCGCCTAAATCCCGAAAGGAAAAGTATTTTTACGGTAGCATTTACGTCGATGTCAAAATATAAAATCAATTTCAGACTGTACTTTAAAACTGTCGATAACACGAACGTATTATATCTTAATATACACCGCTAAATCATTCATACGAGATCACGAATGATTGACGGGTTTTGTAAACAATTTTCGACCACTGAAAAGTACAAATTTATAATAGTCGTTTAAATTTTTGCCAATTCAGTGTTTAAAAGTGTAGCGTGGTTCTTCTTCTTCAGATGCCACTTCTTTAACTTAACAACTTTAATTGGTTCTCTTTCTTTGCGCTAGTCTAAAAAGCTCTACTGCCGTACGTGTCGCAACCAAGTGGTGGCGTGGTTAAGTTTATGAAGTTAAGAAACCAATCGTTACTCATAAAATTGGTTTCGTTTCTTAAATACCAAAAAAACATACATTATGAAAAAAATCGATTACACTTTGACCTTTATGTAACCTTTGCTTGTGGGGAAGGTTTGTATTTCCAGTTAATTAAAACATAGAAATACTTTACGAAGAATATGTATTCATCTGGCGTGACCCCGCAGGCATATACCGAATGAAAAAAAATCGTATATTTTCCGTTGACTAAAACACGAACAAAAATTGTTAGCTACGTGAAACTAAGCTTTAGTGTCGCACTCTCCTGTTCAATATTAAACGTATGCACGTCGCGGCAGTCGGCGATTATGCAGCGAGCGTAAACTGAATACTTAGCTTTATTAGCGCTGTCAATTCTATTACTCCGCTACAGCCTTCGCCTTTAATAACAAAATTTGTACAAGACTGTATCCCTATTATAAGCAACCTTTATAGAAAACTCTCTTCTATTAAATAATTGAACGAAATTCTTAGTCAAATTAGATTCGGAATACAATGTAATGGAGATAAAGGTTTATCTGAGCACGTGGCTCACCCACTAGCGAATTTGTATCGAAATGGTCACGTGACGAAGTGTCCGTGTCTTTCCCATACAAAACCGTGTCTCAGACCCCTGGAGGATTTTCAGTGACGCAACAATTGTTTCGGGCGCAGAAGACACCTTTATTATAGCAAGCAACAATATTTAATAAAATTGACGCAAACGTGTGGGATAGTTGACTCATAAGAATTATTCAAAACAAAATGTTTCGCTAAGTAAGACTCACGTATATCAAAACAGTAAAACTATTCGGTAGAATGATAACCTCGTATGTACAGAGAACCAAACATTACAGGAAACGAAAAAAAATTTCATTTCGTCAATATTCGTTAAAATATTATTATGTTTTTGTCTATAGTTTTAGGTGGTAAAAAAGGACTTATTTATTAATAACATAAATAACTCCTAACTTCATGATTATACCAGTTACACGACATTAGAGTCTAAGAATAAAAAATAAATGTTTTTTTGACAACGAGCATTGATATACAAAAACCCAAGATGCACAATCAATTAAAAATTCAAAAATACAAATTCTAAATTGTCGTCATTTCAAATAGTCTCGCGTCTATAAGTGAGTCATGTTATTTATTTTGTTTTTTATAAATAAATTTATGTACTCTTGAATTTTTTTTAGTTTTGAAAATATATTTACCTATATAAAGTGTGGGTCAGGAGGTAGCCAATTTAAATTTTTTTAATTTAAAGAAAAAACTTTTTAACGGATTAATTTATGTATTATTATAAATTTACAACTATTTAACATCCAACACCTTTTTTCTTCAGTCACCGTACCACTCACCTTAAAGCACCCGAAAAGTCGGATAAATTTAAAATTATGTTAAATAGTTGTAAATAAAAAAGTCATGTTCGTCTCCACTCATTACCTTGTCCTACCGACCACGGTCGGTCGTAAAATTTTATTGCTTTAAGTACGTATACACTGCGTTGTAATAACAACTTTAAGCAATTCGCGTAAGGTTGATTTTGCAATAATATATGCTTGTAACATATACTGTTATGGACAGAAATAGTGTTTCGGGACACTTTCGAGCGTTACTTTTATTCGAGACTGTGCATCTTGGGTTTTTTGTATATCAATGCATACGAGGTTATCATTGACGATTTGGAGTTTGTACTGTCTTGTTTCAGAATCTCATCCTTCAACCACAGGAATCACGAGTACAA